CCTGGGCTTAAGCAATTCTCTTGCCTCAGCCTCCAAAGTAGCTGGAATTACAGGCGCCTGCCACAACACCAGGCTATTTTTTTTTTGGTTGTAGTTGTCGTTGTTTGGCAGGCCACAGCTGGATTCAAACCCACCAGTTCCGTGTATGTACACTGAGCCTGATTTCTTAATGTCAGAATAAAGTATTTTCTGAGTATGGCTTTGATCTCATGTGCTACAATAACATTCCAAGGACAAGTGCTACTTCCACTACCTCCAGTAATAGGGGACTCACTACCTCATTCTCACTTCTGCTTAGCTCTGCCCATTAGAAAGTTGTGTCAACCTAAGTATACCCCATGTGACTACTGCCCACTGGTCCTAGAAGAATCTCTTCCACGTAGCAGCCTTGAGATCTCTGGAGACGGTGGCCACTTCTCTCATAGCCCCCAGGTCTTCTCTTCTTCCTCTTTTTTTTTTAATGTCCTGGCTTCCTGACACTGCACCAGACTCCTTGTCATCACTGAGTGTGCCAATGGCTTCTGCACAAATGAATCCCCTCTCTCCCAGAGCCCATTTCATGCCCCACTTTGTACCTCTTATTCCTGCAGTCCCTGTGTCCATGCCCCACCAAACACTCACAGATGGTACCCACCTCCTCTGCCAGTTCCTCCTCAGATTCCCCACTCAGGGTCTGTAGCACTTTGGACTTATAGGTTTTCCAGAAGGCCTGGTTCATGGCTGCTGGGGGAAGAGGCCTGGCACCAAGGCACAGGAAGGTGGTGGCTCAGTAGGCACCAGTGGGTCTGGCTCTAGGAACTTGGTGAGGCCAAGAGCCTGTCCCAGGGATCAGGTGACTTCATTAAAGATGCACCAACCTCTCCAGCTGGCACAGTGCCTAGCAAGTGAACCTGATCCAAAGGAGTCTGGGGTGGGGGATTTTGTCACCTCAGCCCTGTGTCTTGACCCATATTGGTCAAGAATAATGAAGGCATCTCTCCAAGAGAGGCCTCTTTCCTAGGCCTAAGAGTACTTGAGATTGCTGATCTCTTAGAATGGCTTCAGAAAATTCCTCTTCTGTTCACAAAATTCTTAGGTCTAGGACCCACACTGGGGTTCCCACACTGTGTCCCCACTCAGCCTCCCTGAACTGGAGTGGGAAGGTTCCCAGGCCCCCAATCGGCACCCTGGGCTTACATTTCACTGCTTTGTCTGGGCTGGAAACTGATTCCCTCCCCAGGGATGCACGTGCCTGTCTCCCTGTTTCCTGGCAACAAATTCCAAAGAGCTGGAACCCCTGAATTATTGCTGAGCTCCTCTGGTCCCTTCCAGAGGAGTTGGGTTTGGCCAGCTTGGGAGGCACCAGGCTGTAGTGAATGGGGAAAAGCCCGCTGGCCCTCTCCCACCTCTGAGCACACAACACCTAGGTTGCCCTTGCTACCAGCCCATGCCTGCAATTCCAGGGCTCTGACAAAGGAGGTGAAGATAAAAGGTCCTTCTGTGAGCACCTCATCCTCTTATGAGAGGAGCTGACCCCTTTTAATTCCTTTTTTTTTTTTTTTTTTT